AGTGCTTACCGCAAAATCGCGTTGGTTTTCTGGTGTTTTTTTTTTTTTTTTTTTTTTTTAACACGCTTTATCTCCGGAAGTTTAAACTCGGTTCGTGGTGTTTTTCTTCTTGACTATATCTCGAAATACCACGCGAATTTCTCACGCGGTATTAACGAATTACAATATTATCATATGATCCTCTCAATTTCATTCAAAAAAAAAATTACACGCGTGTCTCGGCTTTCGATGATAAATTGACGGTTCTCTGTTTTTTAAAGAGATGTAAGAACCGGACGGAGAAAGGCAGAGCTTGAGAATTTGTTAAATATTTGTTGAAGAGTTAAGTGTACGAGATTGTTTGAGAACCTCTGCCGTGCAAGTTTGTGTACAGTGGCTTCTTTGTTCTCGCCGTTTCGCCGAGATACTCGAAGAGTATAATCCGAACCATCGCGCGCGCGCGCGAAGCGCAACGTTTATTAATAAATCAAAAAAGATGCACCGAGATGTTTTTTTCACTGATCGCAAATTACGTCGAGGTTTGGAGAAGGATGAAAAAAAAAAAAGAAGAAAAAGAACCACATCTTGAGAGCTGGATAACATTTTACTCTCGTCTACTCTTGTGTTCCGACTCTCGCAACGTCGCGAAAATTCGCGCTTTTGTATATTTTATAAGTCATCATCCTATATATGACTAATTTTAGCGTCTTTACACACGTGAATCAGATAAATTTGAGAAACGAATAAAACGATGACCTCGTATGTTGAACGTAAACAATGTGTAATTTAATTTCTTGCGGGCGTATAGTAAAGACAGAGATTGAGAGTTCTCTCGTAAACGGAGAAACGGTTTTTGTTCATCGAGTAATCGATTTTGCGAAATGAATAGCGGAGACGATTTTGCACCGCGTAAGTTCCAAGCGCGCAATAACCGAAAACGCAAGAAATGGCTCGACAAAAAAGAGAGGAGAAGAAGACCTTTTTATTAAGTCCTTTCGAAGATACGCCTGAATCGCGAACTTTTCTTCTTCTTCCATCTCCACGATCGAAGGTCGCCTCTCAAGAGAGAGAGAGAGAGAAAGAGAGAGCCTTAACACATTTTCGATTACCATAAGTCGCGTTACGACTCATGCGGGGCCGGGCGCTTGTTTATACGGTGATTAAGTCCAATCGATCTGTATTGCGTCGCGTTGCTCTCTGCGCTCACAACAGCTCAAGAAAGACGAACGAAGACGGTCGGCGCGCTCTTCGAAGTAGGACCTCTCCTTATCCAGACAAACGATCCACTTATCAGACCGAGTCTCTTTCTGATTCTCTTGAGTCACGCGAGTCGACTTGTCCGCGCGTGACTCATCTCGCGCAGAAGCTAAGCACATCTCGGTTTATTTACCATAAAAAATTGGCCTGTATACTTTGTTGCGAAGCCGCCGCGTTTTATTCCAGCTACACACATGTAGACTTTTTTTTTTTTTTTAATAAGTGACTTGACAAATCTCATTTTTTTTTTAAAATTTCTTATCTTTTATTTTTGCTTCTCAACCACTTATTAGTAATTTAGATTTCCGGAATAGTTTTTTTTTTTTGCCGTATTCCGACACATTTTTTTTCTCTGAATATTTTCGAAGAGAGAACAAATTAATCTCATCACAGAGCAGTGTTTGCTGATTGTTGCGCTTCATTGTAGTTACGCAATTGGTGGAAACTAAATCTCAGCAGATTGAATAGAGGTTGTAATTGGCGCGATTAATCGAAATTCTGACGTTACGTATCTGGTTTTTTCTTTCTTTTTTTTTTTTTTTTTTTTTTTTTTATTTATTCTTGTGTTGTCGTTTCGTTTTTTTTTTGATTTTTTTTTTTTTTTTTTTTTTTTTTTTTTTTATTAGCGAGATTTATATTAGATCAGTCAGTATATGTGTGTATATAGCGCATGTAGATATATAAAGTCTATAATTTATTGATGGCCGCGGTGTAATAATCTAATACTTTGTACAGTAAATCGAAAGAGAAAAGTAAATTGTAGTAAGTAAATAACATGGAAGGTGGTTAGTAGAATGGTGATAAAAGACACGTTTAATGAATTTGTAATTTGCTTTTACTTTCTACAGGAAACTCAATTTAACATCGAACGTTGCGCACACACGAACTTCCAATAGGTCGAGGAAACTGCATTGAATTAATGCTGGTGACATTTTATTTCATCTCACGTTTCTGAGAAGTTAGTTTTTTTTTCTTTTTAATCCAAGACAGTTTAATCTTGTTTATAACTAAATGTAACAATTGCTATTACAATTACGTTGGACGTGTCTTTTGAGAATTGCATTTAACAGATCTTGGATCTGTTAAAAAAAAAAAAAAAAAAAAATTGCTCGTTACGTTGAGAAAATTCGGTTGTGTACAAGAGGATTTGACCTCTTTCAGCGTATCAGATTTCTTCTTAATGCTCCTTCTTGATCTCACCGATCGCACGGCATTTATACACATGTAAAAAGAGTATGTGCAAAAAAAGTCTGTAAAACGAGAACACTCGCCTACGGTACGACTGCATGCTATCGCATCGGCTGCATTATCGTCTTACTTTTGTTCACAGCCAGCACATTCCTGATCGTTTCGCATGCACAAGAGCAAATAAGCTCGCTTGTTTCGCCGAGTCGCCAGCACGGACGTTTCCAATACACCGTTCGTTTTTGATCGGAGGCATTACTCCTCTTATTACTTTCGAGCAACACAGAGAGAGTATACAGATTGTTTCGCAATTGTTCCGAAAAATATCTTTTCATGTCTCCGGTTTCTCGGATAATTGTGTGGTTTATAATTACTTTCTAAACGAAAACTTTTACCGCGGTAATCTGTTGTCTATACATTTGAAACTCTTTATTCGGCTTTCGTATTCGATCTCACTAGACGAACAAAAGTTGTTCGGATTAGAGGATTCAGTTAGCTCAAAATTAATTAAGAAGAAACACGCGGAACATAATTATTTATTATAAAATATATCTATTTTCTGTATTTCTAAACTACTTTCGAATTTGTCGGAAACACGAAATATTCTACATTAAGAATTCTAATGACTTACGCAAATCTGGTTATTTAGTGGATTCGCATAATCACTGAAAAAAAAACGAGGAGAGGATAACAATTATTAGTAATAATAAATAATTATTTTTGCTTCAACTACGCGTGTACAAAATTCGAGTAAATTGCGTTACGAGCGTGTTACTTCGGTCCACCATCGGAACCGAATCGGTTTTTCTGTGTATTTGCCATTCGGTCACACGAACGTAAATGAATCGCACAGGCCAAGGACGAACGCGCGACTCAAAAGCCAATGCTATGGTCGATTCTGAGAGATCTAATGGTGAAAATTCTTTTATTTTCGGTGCTGACTTTTGGCGGCCGCCCATCTAGACTCCGAGCCCGGCATTAATCATAGTAAGTCAACGAAAAAAACAGAGGCCCCGGCACAGGCGACGCCTGCGGCGCGGTGCTTCGTATTATTTTTCCCGCTTGTCCATCCTTTACTAACAGACGAGTCTTTGATTTTTCATTCATCCTCAACGATGCACGTACCGAGAGAGAGAGACAGAGAGAGAGAGAGAGAGAAAACACAAGACATATTTGCCACAATAGTGCGTTTATGTTAAACACACGTTTGAGAATATCCGGAACGTAATATGTGGATAAAGTAAATGAATATGCAAATTAAATGTAGATAAAAATCTACGTAGACAAAAAACAATACATATAAACATAAAATAGATATATAACAAAAAAAAAAAATCATCGTCGATTAAAAATGATTTTGTACATATATTTTGTATATTAGAGTAATATTACGCTATCTCAATTATGCGCGTTGAAATCAATTAACGTATTAACATGTTAATCAGGTGGTGGAAACATATATGTTTTTAAAGTAATTTTTCAAGAAGAAAGAACAATAGTAGATTGGAGTACAAGAAATCCATTAATCAATGAATTTAACGTGACGGTAAGATAACATCCTCTCGGTACCTGTGCACGATTCTCGCGCATAGATATATGTAATTAATTGTTTTTCTCATGTATATTACATTACCATCTCTCTCTACCTAAGAAACTAATCGTCACGAAGCTAGGTTGTTAACAAAAATTTTGCTTTCTTTTTTCTGCTGCTTGCGGATTCAGGGACCTGGAACTGTCACGGAAAAGTTTGCGGTAATTAACGTGAGAAAGGGAGAAAGAAAGTGGGAGGAAACAATATTAACACTGGTGTGGTGTCGTGATAAATGTTTTGATCTACAGCTTGCTTTGTCGTCGATTCGTTGTTTATTTTTGTTTTTATCTTTTTACAGTACAAGTTGCAGTTTTAATACAAGGCGCAAAAGTTAGAAGTTTTGGTCGTCGGTGCTTTTTTTTTATAAGCGTAATACATGCTTTTGTAACTTGTAATATATTTATTATATTGACGCTCTCAGCCGCAAGGATGCGTGAAAAGTTTCGTCACTGAACTTACAAACAAAAAGAATTGCGTTTGTAGATTCGAATGAAAAAAGTCTTTCACAGTTTGAAATATAAAATACATGCAATTACACGTTTAAAAAAGTAGAAAGATTGATAATCCTACAAACGTGTACACGCAGAGACGTTTCTTTGTTCTCTAAAGAATCACTTTGTTTTCTAATAAGATTGACGGTGTTATTTTTTGTCATGTCACGAGACAATGAGACGAAAGTTTTCAAGCTAATTAAGTTCCTCTCTTAAGAGAGGAACTTAAGCGGAACGAATATAATTTACGTTTTCATATTCAAATGATCTACATTTCAGAACGAACGATCAAGCTTCGATTTTGTCTTCTTTACGCTTTTGTGTCTCCAACATCTACTTTTAAATGGCGATTATTATATTTCCTATATGTATCTTACTATATTTTTTATCAGCTATTTTACATATTTTAGCGCTACTGTACATACAACGTTAAAATAATAATGTTATCGATCATTTGGCAATAGTTAAAAATAATTTATCATATTTTATTTCTCATATTTAATATTATTGTGTATGTATATATATATATAATTTTGTAAAATGATAATGCGGAGCAGATTTGTAAAAATTCATAAAAATTATAACATAATTTTTTTTTTATTGGTGTCACATGCTTTGCATAAGAGAAAGCAACGTGTTGTTGTTGCCATCAATGTTATTATGTTTTAATGTATTTTTGCGACAAGCTATTTATTTTGTTTCTCTTAGCGCCATTCTTTAAATGTTGAGAGATCGTTTGTTTGACGAAATATGTATTATTAAATCGTTGAAATTTTTTTCGTCACAGGGTGAGCTCGAGCAACAGCTTCTTCAGGCAAATCCAATTTTAGAAGCTTTTGGCAATGCGAAAACAGTGAAGAACGATAATTCGTCTCGCTTCGTAAGTTTGTAATAAAAGTTTTTTAGTAATTGTAATTGTGTTTTAGTTTTAACAAAAACTTTTAATTCTAATTTTGACACATTGTTAGTTGCAACTTTTAGTTTTAACAAAAAAAAAAAAAACTTGAACGCAATTTTGACGCTTTGTACACGTTATTACAGGGTAAATTTATAAGAATAAATTTCGACGCGTCTGGTTACATAGCTGGCGCAAATATCGAGACATATCTGTTAGAAAAATCCAGAGCCATACGGCAAGCGAAAGATGAACGAACTTTCCACATATTCTATCAACTTTTAGCGGGTGCCTCGCCGGAACAAAAGAGTAAGTTGTAACGCACATTGATTCCTCAAACATGTCACTAAAATTTGTGTTTTTATTATTTCTAACTTTTTGTCGCACTTTGTCATTTTTTTCAGAGGAATTTATACTGGAAGATCCGAAGCACTATCCCTTCCTGTCGAACGGAGCTCTGCCTGTTCCAGGCGTTGACGATACCGCCGAATTTTTCTCCACTGTAAAATCGATGCACATCATGGGCATGACCAACGAGGATTTCTCTTCCATCTTCCGTATCGTTTCCGCCGTGATGTTGTTCGGATCGATGCAGTTCCGTCAGGAGCGGAATTCTGATCAAGCAACGTTACCTGACAACACAGTGGCGCAGAAGATCTCTCATCTGTTAGGTCTGAGCGTAACAGAAATGACAAAGGCTTTCTTAAAGCCGCGCATTAAAGTCGGTCGCGATTTCGTGACAAAAGCGCAAACAAAGGAGCAAGTAGAATTCGCCGTGGAGGCGATTTCGAAAGCCTGCTACGAGAGAATGTTCCGTTGGTTGGTGAACAGAATCAACAGATCCCTGGACAGAACAAAGAGACAGGGTGCCAGTTTTATTGGTATACTCGATATGGCTGGTTTTGAGATATTCGAGTTAAACTCTTTCGAGCAGTTGTGCATCAATTACACAAACGAGAAGCTGCAACAATTGTTCAATCACACGATGTTCATTTTGGAGCAGGAAGAATATCAGCGTGAGGGTATCGAGTGGAAGTTCATTGATTTCGGTTTGGATCTACAACCGACGATCGATTTGATCGATAAACCGATGGGTATTATGGCACTTTTGGATGAGGAATGTTGGTTCCCCAAAGCAACGGACAAAACGTTTGTTGAAAAGCTAGTGGGCGCTCACAGCGTTCATCCTAAGTTTATGAAGACCGACTTTCGCGGTGTGGCCGATTTCGCGATCATTCACTACGCCGGCAAAGTGGATTATTCCGCTGCCAAGTGGTTGATGAAGAATATGGATCCGTTGAACGAAAACGTTGTCAGTCTGCTACAAGCCTCGCAAGATCCGTTCGTGTGTCACATCTGGAAAGACGCCGAGATCGTTGGCATGGCACAACAAGCGCTCACGGACACTCAGTTCGGTGCGAGAACGAGAAAAGGTATGTTCAGAACGGTTTCACAACTGTACAAGGAACAGCTGGCCAAGCTGATGGAGACGCTGCGCAACACAAATCCAAACTTCGTCAGATGTATAATTCCGAATCATGAGAAGAGAGCCGGTAAAATTGACGCTCCGCTCGTGCTGGACCAGCTGCGGTGCAACGGAGTGTTGGAGGGTATCCGCATCTGCCGGCAAGGCTTTCCGAACAGAATACCTTTTCAAGAATTTAGGCAGCGTTATGAGCTTCTTACTCCAAATGCCATTCCCAAGGGATTTATGGATGGGAAGAAGGCTTGTGAAAAGATGGCACGTATCTTCTTGTATTTTGTGCAATTTTATATATTTTATTTTACATTTATACAATTTAATTTATATAAAAAAAATATAATGTTAAAACTTTTTTTTATAGATTCAAGCATTGGAGTTGGATCCGAATCTTTATCGCGTTGGACAATCCAAGATCTTCTTCCGTGCTGGAGTGTTGGCACATCTCGAGGAAGAGAGAGACTACAAAATTACGGATATAATAGTCAATTTCCAGGCTTTCTGCCGTGGATTTTTGGCTAGACGTAATTATCAGAAACGTCTGCAGCAACTTAACGCAATCCGCATTATTCAGAGGAACTGCGCGGCCTATCTGAAGCTGCGCAACTGGCAATGGTGGCGACTATATACGAAAGTAAAACCTTTGCTGGAGGTCACCAAGCAAGAGGAAAAGCTCACGCAAAAAGAGGATGAATTAAAGCAGCTTCGTGACAAGTTGGATCTACAGCTGCGTCTAGCTCAGGAATACGAACGCAAATATCAGCAGTCGATGGAAGAGAAAACCATGTTGGCCGAGCAACTGCAAGCGGAAGTCGAGCTCTGTGCGGAAGCCGAGGAGAGTCGAGCTAGGCTGGCCGCGAGAAAGCAAGAACAGGAAGAAGTTTTGCACGATATGGAAGCGCGTCTCGAAGAAGAAGAAGAGAGAAGCGCCGCATTGACTCAAGAAAAGAAGAAGTTACAATTGAATATTAGCGATTTGGAAGAGCAATTAGAAGAAGAAGAAGCTGCCAGGCAGAAACTTCAATTAGAAAAGGTCCAATGCGACGCAAAAATCAAGAAATTAGAGGAAGATCTCGCTCTCTCGGAAGATACGAATCAAAAATTACTGAAAGAGAAGAAAATTCTTGAAGAGCGCGCCAACGATCTTTCACAAACTTTGGCGGAAGAAGAAGAGAAGGCAAAACACTTGTCAAAATTGAAAGCCAAGCACGAAGCTACAATAGTCGAACTTGAAGAAAGGCTTTTCAAAGATCATCAACAGCGGCAAGAAGTAGATAGATCCAAGAGAAAGGTCGAGACTGAGGTTTCGGATCTGAAGGAGCAATTGGCCGAGAGGAAAACGCAAGTCGAGGAACTGCAACTCCAACTTGGCAAACGTGAGGAAGAACTCAATCAAATCATGGCAAAGATGGATGAGGAAGGTGCTGCGAAGGTTCAAGCTCAGAAGGCGCTCAGAGAATTAGAATCGCAATTGGCTGAACTTCAGGAAGATTTGGAGGCCGAAAAAGCAGCCAGAGGAAAAGCAGAGAAACAGAAGCGCGATCTGAACGAGGAACTCGAGGCGCTGAAGAACGAATTGTTGGATTCTTTGGACACTACTGCTGCTCAACAGGAGTTGAGAAGCAAGCGAGAACAAGAACTTGCGACGTTGAAAAAGAATCTTGAAGAAGAGACATCGCAACACGAAGGCACACTCGCCGATATGCGTCACAAACACACACAAGAATTGACTTCTCTGAACGAACAGATGGACGCCTTGAAAAAGACAAAAGCAACTCTGGAGAAGGCGAAAGGATCTTTAGAAGCCGAGAATGCCGATTTAGCTACCGAATTAAGATCAGTCAGTGCGAGCAGACAAGAATCTGATCGTCGTCGTAAACAGGCAGAGCAACAGCTGGCAGAAATTAACGCCAAACTAGCCGAAGTAGAGCGAAATAAACAGGAACTGGTTGAAAAGGTGACGAAATTGCAACAAGAGGCGGAGAATGTAATGCAACAATTGGAACATGCCGAACTGAAAGCATCTGCGGCCTTGAAAGCATCGACTACTTGCGAGTCTCAATTTACCGAGCTTCAACAGCAATTGGAAGAGGAAACCCGGCAGAAACTGGCTCTCAGTTCTAAGCTGCGTGCATTGGAGAGTGAGAAGGAAAGTCTGCATGACCAACTCGAAGAGGAGGAGGAAGCAAAGCGTGCCTTGGACAAGCAAGTGTTGAGTTTGAACATACAATTAGCTGAAGCCAAGAAACGTACCGAAGAAGAAGCAGAAGCGACTGCTGCTTTGGAAGAGGCCAGAAAGCGTTGCATGAAAGATATCGAGGCTTTTCAGCGACAAGTTGAGGAATTACAAGCAGCCAACGATAAACTAGATAAATCGAAGAAGAAAATTCAGGCGGAATTGGAAGATAGCATCATCGAACTGGAGGCTCAGCGAGCAAAAGTTCTCGAATTGGAAAAGAAGCAGAAAAACTTTGACAAGATGCTGGCCGAAGAAAAGGCCGTATCTGAGCAATACGCGGAGCAACGAGATGCTGCGGAAAGAGAAGCACGTGAGAAGGAGACAAGAGTGTTGTCGTTGACTCGCGAATTGGACGAACTTAGTGAGAAAGTTGATGAACTAGAACGAAGCCGTCGAGGCCTACAATCAGAACTGGACGAATTGGTTAATAATCAAGGCACCGCTGACAAGAATGTGCACGAGTTGGAAAAAGCGAAACGTGCGCTGGAACAACAACTGGACGAACAAAAATCGCAAGTGGAAGAATTGGAGGACGAGCTGCAGTTCACGGAAGATGCCAAACTGCGATTGGAGGTAAACATGCAAGCGTTGCGTGCACAGTTCGAACGTGATCTTCAAACGAAGGAAGAGCAAGCGGAAGAGAAACGTCGAGGATTGGTGAAGCAGCTCCGTGATCTCGAAGCGGAACTCGAGGACGAGAGGAAACAACGCGCTGCTGCTATCGCGGCGCGTAAGAAGATGGAAGCTGATTATAAGGATGTAGAGCAACAGTTGGAAATGCATAATAAAGTAAAAGAAGACGCGCTTAAACAACTAAAGAAACTTCAAGCACAGATTAAGGATTGCACCAGAGAGACGGAGGAAGCTAGGGCCGCCAGAGACGAGCTAGCAGCTGCTTCTAAAGAAACCGAGAGAAAAGTTAAGAGCTTAGAGGCCGACTTGTTGCAGTTGACAGAAGATCTTGCCAGCAGTGAACGTGCCAGAAGAATCGCCGAAAATGAAAGAGATGAGCTGCAGGAAGAGATCAACAACAACGCCAACAAAATTACCTTAATGTTAGACGAGAAACGCAGACTAGAGGCAAGAATCGCTACTCTGGAAGAGGAATTAGAAGAAGAGCAATCGAATGCTGACGCCGTGAACGAACGTGTCAAGAGGCTCGCGAGCCAGGTCGAGCAATCGCAAGCAGAAGCGACGGCCGAGCGATCAATTATGCAAAAATTGGAATCACAAAAGATGCTGTTGGAAAGACAAAACAAAGAGCTCAAAGCCAAGTTGACCGAGCTAGAAACTGCCCAGCGCGCTAAAACTAAGGCTACGATACAACAGTTGGAATCCAAGATCAATAATCTTGACGAGCAACTCGAGAACGAAGCTAAGGAAAGATTCGCTCAACAAAAGATCAATCGTAAACTGGAAAAGAAATTGAAGGAACTGACTCTACAGTTGGATGACGAGAGACGAAACTCCGATCAATATAAAGAACAAGCAGAAAAAGTCAATGCCAGGATGAAGGCGTTGAAGAGACAGTTGGACGAGGCAGAAGAGGAGATCAGTAGGCACAAGACCATGAAGCGGAAAGCGCAGAGAGAAATGGACGACATGATTGAATCTCACGAAGAGCTCACGCGGGAACTAACACATCTAAAGAACAAATTAAGGTAATTTTTGTTTTCTTTTATCTCTACTTTTAAACATGACAGAGACAAAAAAGCATTTTCCAAAAAAAAACAAAAATGCAAAGACATTCGGGTATAAAAGAGTTTTTAAGAATGTTTGGAGGATATTTTAGAAGTAGCGAGAGGATATTATAATGTTCTCGATTTATTTACATGTATGTGTTCTTTTATGTTACACTTTTTAGGCCGTACGTATCTGTAACCTTAGGCGAACGTAATGAGGCAGTATTAAAGTAGTGTTTTATCTTTGAAGGAAGTGATCAACTTCTGAACATGTGTAGGTGTCAAGAGAGAAAAAACGATTGGTATCCTACCTGAGAGAGTTTTTTGCTAGGAAACAATCCCATTACTGTCCCCAGTGTGCTACAGTGAGTTAAACGAGCTCTTTTGGTTAATTTGAAACCGCTAACCCCGAAAGTAATAATCAACTTGGATTACTACCTTGTGTGATACCGACATATGTACTTCACCTCTGGCATCCCTTTGAATGCAGTTGTTTGCGAATGTGTTTTTCTTTCTTTTTTTTTTCTTTTTTTTATTTTTTTTTATCGTTTGTTCGCAATACGTACCATTGGTCAATAATTCGACAATGTGCTTTCTAGGAAATATATTAGCCTTCAATTCGAATAAATTTACGGTTTTTTTAATTTTTATTTTAAAGAAACGATTGATCGTGTATGGTTTTCCAACGATTACGCACACGAAATGACCGACAACAAATCTTATCGCCTAATTAACGCAATGTGTGATCTGTTTAAAGGCGCGGTGGTCCTCCGATAAGTCTGAGCTCCACGAGGCTGAAACGCGGTTCTGTACAGACCGGTGGCTCGGGCGACGACTCGACGACGCAGGACGAAAGCATCGACGGCGAAGAGAATGCCAATTGAGTAACGGAGTCGGTTCAATGTGCTCTCGAACCTCTGTGAATTCTGTACATACGTGTGTCGAGAAGGTGTTGGCCTTTTAATTTTGTTCGATTCGGCGCGTAACGCGGACTAAACTAACGTCTTGCATCACAAGTACGAGACTTAGCTTCAAAATCAAAAGTTTGTTCCGACAATATCCCGTGGCGCTTCCGGCCTTAGAATTGTCGCGATGAGAAATAATCGTTCCGAGAGAGAGAGAGTTCAGTTCACGTTGATACAGCGCCAACGATTCAAGAGAAAGAGAGGCACAGAGCGCGAAATAGCAAAAAAAAAAAAAGAAAAAAACGGTGAATACTTGAATAAAGGACTTTTGATACACATTTTATATAGAACAAACGCGAACGTTAATCACATTTTACATATATATATATATATATATATATATATANATATATATATACATATATATATATATATACATATATATATATATATATAAAGAAAGAGTGTGATAGACAGAAGAGAGTGAGAGGGAGAGAAAGTAGGATAATAATAAAATTCTGGAAAAAGGAAACTTAATCATGATAAATTTATTGGAGACTTATTTAAGGAAACTTAAGAAATAAACAAAAAAAACGAGTGATGCGCGCGCGCGTTTTATTTTGATTCCGGCTCTCGCTTAATTTTCTCGAGCTGTCGGACCAATCCAGGACTTGCGAGGTCTAGTGGGGTCTTTTTCTCTTTGTTGGTGATCGTCATGTCCGCTCCGTGCTCTACCAGCAGCTTCGCCTCTTCCACGCGGTTCTCCTCGCAAGCGAGATGCAACGGCGTGTTACCGTACGCGTCCCTCTTATCTGGAAAAAAAAAAAAAAAAAAAGAAACAAAAACGAAACTGCACGAAACGAACGGATGCATGAAAATTGCGCACGTACCGTCTAAGGAGAGCAAGCAAACCTTTGTACTTCTTTAGGTTATATAATCGAAAATATTTATATAAAATTACATAGATTATATATTTGATATTTTATATATTATTATATGCTGCGCAACATATACCAGAGAGAGAGAGAGAGAGAGTGAGAGAGAGAGAGAAAGAGAGAGAGAGAGAGCAATGCTGCATTTCAATAATACATAGAAACTCTACTTAGAACCGTTACCTATGTTCAACTTCCCATGTTCAACGAGAAGCTGCACAATAGCGATATTGCCTTTCGATGCGGATCTGTGCAGCGGCGTGGCACCTCGCTTGTCCGCGATATTCACGTCGGCACCTTTGTCAAGCAACGACCCGCAGATGGAGACCCAGTTCTTTGATGCGGCGTACTGCAACGCCGAGTGACCGTTGTCCGTCGTTGCGTTCACATGTGCTCCTTCGTTCAGCAACGTGTTAACAACCTTCTCGCGGCCGGCGGACGCCGCCAAAATGAGCGGAGTCATATCTGTCTGCGTGATTCGGACGGCGCAAAGAAAACAGATTAATTGAAAAACAATCTTGATAACGTACGAGGGAATTACGAGCCGGCGCGACGAACGTAAAATGAAAGTCTCGGTAATTATGTGACGCGCGTTACGCGTGAGAAAAACAGGATTATACGCAAGAAAAAGAAATGTAACGCAATGTGCGATGCATTTTGGATGCATTTTCGCTTTATACTTATTTTCGTATAAGTTTTTTCTTATAAAAAAAAAAAAAAAATCTATGGAAAAATAATATAATTATTATGTACAATGAAACGTGTATGTATTATTAAGAATCCATCTTTCTTTAGACAAGATGTTTTTAGATAGTTTTTGGGACTTTGTAGCGAGAAAGATTTTGCTGAAACAGCAGCTTCGTGAAGTTACACAAATGTGACATCTTTTGTTTGAGATTGCGTTATTACTAAAAAAAAAAAAAAAAAAAAAAAAGGGTGAGACACTAGTTTTGTAGATTTACAAAAATAAATTTATAAGAGAAGTCAATTGCGAGTAAGATATGGAATATATTGTATATTTGTTGTTCTCTCGTGGTTAAAAAGATAATTCAATTGCATGAAATTCTATCTGGAACAAAATCATCAAGTTGGACTTAGATCCGACTTTACTGAACAGAGAAGTGAGAGAGAATACTCTTATTAAATCTGACATCACAAGTAGGACTGGCGTGTAAGAGGTGAAATGCTTGAATTGACATGTTTTTTTACGTATCATTCGTCTATGTTTAGAGGTTTATTAAATGTGGAATATGTGTGACTTATCGCGCGCGTTTTTTCTTCTTTTTAATTGTTGTTAACGGTTTCTCAAACATCCATGTAGTTGTTAACTAATTATGCGACTGATGAAGACAACATCGCGCTTTAACTGATGTAATCTTTATTATTATGTAAATATAATTCACATCTTATTTATGCTTGCAATTGACCTTCCTTATATTTAAGCGTTAAACAAGTTAAGCTCTCCGTAAATTTAAAGATACAGACCTTGTGGATACGAGCTGCTTGATTGAATGAAATTGACTTTTCTCGCTAATTGCCACCGATAATAGATAATATATTTTTTGAAACAAAGATTTAATTCGGTCACGTCAGCCCATGTTTGTGCAAAACATAGTTTTTATTTTATTTGAAACGTGTAAATTAATACACACAATAATTTGAATTTACGTTCAATTCAAAAATTCATTATAAGATGCTTTGCATAAATGAAATATCAAATTTACTCTTCTATGGAAATGTAAAAAATCTAATTCATTCCTCCGAAGAGATTAAAATTGCGGAAGACCACCTTGGCCAGGATTCGAACCCGAACCTTCCGCAATTTTCTAACGCAGGCGCCTTTCCAATTCGGCGATTTATTATAGTTTGAAATATTCTTACACAAGAACATTTTTGCACAGATGTACAAACATTTTTGTAAGTTATTTACTTGTGTATTTCAAGAATAGATAGTTTATTGTATGAATATAGGATTTGTGTTTTAGAACGACAGAGTTCAACGATTAATGCAAGATTTGTATTTAAAAGAACACGATATTTCCTGGAGAATGTTTGACAAGTAAACTCAATTCTGTACTTGTGGAAAACCGCGCGATTCGTAACTAAAAAAAAATAAAACTTGTTACAGCGCGCGAATAAGTCAATCAGCTGTTCCTCAATCTTGTCTTGTCTGAGATGAATTTCTTCCGAGAATTTCGACGAATTGTTTCGAAGTTCTTGGAAGTTTGTTTATTAGAATAGCGCACATAAAGAAAAAAATGCTAATGTCTTACGTCATCTCTAGGATCCACCGGTACGTGAAGGGACAACAAATGTTTGACCAGATCGTCGTGACCTCCCAGAGCCGCCCAGTGTATCAACATTCTGCCATTCTGCGAGGAAGAAAAGACACATCACAGTTTTGTGCATCACGTGTATGCGATACGAATGACAGAAAATAAAATTTCACAATATACAAACGCTGTCTGTTTGCGTCTTCAGTTTCTCGTTTTCGTTCAACAGAATCTTTACGGCTGCGGTTTTGCCGCGATATGCCATATCGTACACCGATCCTTCTTGCGACATTTTTTTCTTTGCAAATTGCGACTCACTTGAAATTTCTAGCAGCTAGATATGTGTTTAGCGCGAACTATGCGTTTTTCGTGCGTTTTGAATAATTGCGATTAGAGATATCGACAATTAATCGCCGATTCGCTCTGTCATCATCGATAGTGACTGGCAGTGACTCTGTCAAAAATTTCTGCACACAACACACAAGTTGCGGTACACGTGCAACACACGACAGAGGCAGTCATGGTGTCACGGAGGCAGTCAACCAATCCTGTTCTACTATCATCCGCCACATATCTATGGGTGGGTGTGTTTAGCCGAAGCTAGCGCTACGTAGCGCTACGTAGCGGCTTCATGTAGCAGTTGCAATTGCTGCGTTACTTCTGCTGGACAGTATTGCTACGCGCAGCGCTTTTTGTAAGCGCAAATATGTTTGTATACAAATCGCCGTTGTATTCTTCGGTT